TTAAAAGATATCTATTAGATATGTGTCTAGTAGATATCTTTTAGAAATGACTTAAAAGACATCTTATATTTGATATGACAGTTTGACATTTTAAGTTTCGCGACAGACTGACACCGCCGTATTAAATTATATATTGCGCGATTATAAAGGTTGATTCGAATTACGCGCGCTTCGCATTTATGCGTTCCGGAGTTCCGAGTTCCGAGCTCGGTTTCGCCTCTCGAATGCGTGCATTCGTTTATGCATTCGTCTTGGCGCGCGTCCTTGCGACGTACGACGACGTCGTAGACGCAGGCACCGGGTGTCCGGACGGGCTTCGCCATTTGGAGGCGGGAGGCATTAATTAAAGAAGTTTTGCAGCGGTTAACGCAGTGAGTATCACTTAATCTTTACAACTAACAGCTTTACAACTGCAGCTTTACAATAACCTCAAATTAATTCGATCGATCGCAAAGACATAGAGAATGGATTGCGCGATCCGTATTTAAGTATATAGATCGAGTTAATTTGAGTTAATTTGATACACTATAGTGTATCAAATGTGGTCGATAATAATGAGAGAGAGGGACTACTATAAAATATAAAACTTTGTATTTTATTTTGCAGGCAGACAAGACATTTTGCTCAAGACAAGACAAGACATTTTGCTCAAGACAAGACATTTTGCCCGCAGACAAGAGAATAATATGCAGGAAAATAATAGTATTTCCCGCAACCGCGTGTGCAACGGGTCGTGTTCGTCGGCCATCAAGGCCTCATACGCTGTTAAGCGTCTTCCCGCGACTGCATGTGCACCGATATCGCATTTTGTCTCCAGAATGCTGCAACCAGTTTCTTATATGTTTTACAATTAATGCGATAGTACAATAAATAACGGAGGATTGTCCACGCAGCTTTATCAAAGAAGTGCAGACATGGGTTTAAGAGTGCCGTTTAACATAGCATTGTATTCTTTGCTGACTTACATGAGCTGACGCTCATACAAGTTCTGACGACGGAATCAGCAATGAGGAAAATCTGCCTAACGCTGAAGAAATCAATGATAATGAGGAAAATCATTCTCATAACGATGACGAACTATTTAACAACCAACAAATTAACGATGAAAATCAGGTTTTAGGTAACAGTATACTTTTTGTCACGGCATATATGCAAACTTACTTTTATATAGAAATTAAATAATTTTTAATATATTTTTATTATTTCGTATATATATAGATCCAGAGATTGTTCTCCCACTTGAACATGTAAATGTAAACGGCGATATACGAGAAATTTGTGGTAAGTTATATTTTTCTTTAAAGTTCTTTAATAAAAAAATGTAAAGAAATAATCCTGGGATACAAAATATTTTAAAGTTATTTGTAACATTATTGGAAAAATTTATATCTATGCTGATAATGATTAAAATGTGAATGGTACATACACACAAATGCTTTCTTTTGTTGCAGATTGTAACAAATTAATTCGCCACCAACTTAATCAGTTTGAAACAGAGATGAGAAACGAAATAATTAAAAATATAACAAAATTGCAAGAAATACTTGCAATTTTAAGAGATAAATATCCAAGAAATGAAGGAAACAATGAAGTAACTATGGATTTAATACCTGATTTGCCATTTAATCCATTTACATCCGTCGAGGAGTATGTTTAACGAGACACTAAAAAATGATGAAACAATTCGTAAATGTTTTGTAAGTATCTTTTTATGTATGAATAACTACAAAAATATGGTATATATGAATGTACATATATAGGATATAGATAATTCACGGTGAATTATTTAGGCATTAATAACAGCTTTGACCGCCATAGGCTTGAATATGATTATACTTAGTGTTTTAATTTCAACAGTCCTAATAAATCTGATTTTTTTTTATGTAATACAATGCATTTCCTTATAATTTCTTTTTTTT